GACAGAGTGGAATGGCAATAATGATTCTTAGTTAGAAGCAACAACAACAACAACAGCAACAACCACAGATCTGAATGTTAATAAAAATAGTAATGTACGTGTATTTCAAAACGCCTTATAAAACTGTAAAAGAGTACAAAAGAGGTATTAACGATGATTATGCCACTTGGACAATCAAAATACCATTAGAAAATTAAATTTTTATTTATTTTTATTTAAATTTTTTTTTTTTTTTAATTTTTTATTTGAATTTCCTAGGGTTTTGGCTAAGCCTCCCACTGTTTCATTAATGGTTTCTTTCCCATTGACACTCTCGTAGACCAGGCGGTTAGTTGCTCTGAAGTTATCAGCAAAAATAGAATTAAAAAAATAAAAAAAAAATAAAAAAAAAATAAAAAAAAAACTATATAAATACTCCCCCTTCTGCACCCCCCACAGGAAATCCACGTAAGCTCTTTTTTATCTTCTGCAATTCTCTTCCTTTGAATCGTAAAACACGCAATTGAGACTGATCTACTATTTTAACAATGTCATACAACAATAACAACAACGACAATAACAACAACAACAACAACAACAACAACAATGCCAACTTCAACCAGCAGGAAGGCGAGGCTACTGACCGTAGTCTGGGCTCTACTGTTATGAACATGGCCATTAAAAACTCCTTTGGTGGTTCCAAGAAGAAGGATGACAACTCTTTGCTTGATCTTGCTGGAAACTTCCTCTCTGGATCTAGCAGTAACAACAACAGCAACCACAGCTCTGGCGGTGCTAGTGCTGTTATTGGGTCCCTGCTTGGTGGATCAAGCAAAAACAACAACAACAACAACAGCAACAATAGTTCTTCTGGTGGTGCTGGCGCTTTGATTGGATCGCTGCTTGGTTCCAACAAAAATGATAATAACAATAACAACAATAACAACAATAACAATAACAATAACAATAATCACTCTAGCAGCTCGGCTAGTGGGTTCATTGGATCGTTTTTAGGAGGCAAGAAGAACGATAACAACGATAATAACAACAACTACAACAATAACAACAACAACAACAACAACAACAACAACTACAACAGCAATAACAACGGTAACACCAACAATGGTGGCAAGCACTCTGGTACTGGCGAGTTCATTGGTAATTTGTTTGGCAAGAAGCACGATAACAATAACAACAACAACGGTGGCTACGGTAACAACAACAATAACAACGGTGGTTATGGTAGCAATAACAATAACAGTGGCTACGGAAACAACAATAATAGTGGCTACGGAAACAACAACAACAACAGTGGTTATGGTAGCAATAACAATAACAGTGGCTACGGTAACAACAACAACAACAGTGGCTACGGAAACAACAACAACAACAGTGGTTATGGTAGCAATAACAATAACAGTGGCTACGGTAACAACAACAACAACAACAACAACAACAACAGTGGCTACGGAAATAACAACAACAGTGGTTATAGTAGCAATAACAACAACAGTGGCTACGGTAACAACAGTAATGGTGGCTACGGAAACAACAACAACAACAACAACAACAACAGTGGCTACGGAAATAACAACAACAACAACAATAGCTCCTATGGCAATAACAACAATGGTGGCTATGGCAATAACAATAATGGAGGCTATGGTAACAACAATAACAGCTATGGAAACAATGGTGGTGACAACAAGTGGTAGTCAAACTGATTTTCAATTCATGAAAAGAAATGTATATTGTATCAGCAACGAGAGACTTGATTTAGAAAAAAGAAAGATTAGATATGTATCTATATACAATCTAATGAACAGACTACCAAAGGCTAGTAACACACAATGCTAAGTATTATAAGTTGTAGACAAAAGGTCTAGTAAGGGATTCTTAATCATATGCTTGATGAGTTGATGGTTTGAAGAATTCCCACAAGTACTTTATGGATTTTATTTTAACAGTTTGGTCAGGGGCACCACCCTGAACCAACTTAGACGGTTAGGTTTCTCGCCTATTGGAGATAGAAACCGGGAATAGGAAATAAATGTCCAGACAGCTAACTCAATAGAGTAAAGCTGAGGTCTTAGCTCAAGGATTAGGTAATATGAGTCTTCCAGACTTGGCGGATGGAATACGAGATGTGCTAATACTTCTACGAGGGGCTCTACAGTCAACTTTGAGCATAATATAGGATGTTCAAATAGAATTTTAATTGGATTGAACAAGACCAAGACATGGAATGTCATTGGCGTTATTAAGAATCAATAGAATAAGATCAAGAAAAAAAAAATTCTGTCAAAAGCACCAATGGTAACTGGGCTTATGGATCCAACTCTGTTACAGCATCGAGGATGTCTTATGCAAGAAAAAAAAAAAAAAGAATCATTGTTTTAAAATGACGTTAGTAGAGAATAATATATGGGAGCACTAGCAATGGGAACTCAAACAGCTCTAACGAGTGGGACCTCAGGGACCTCAGAAATAGAATAATCTTTGTCTTATTAGTCTCACAATAGCACTATTGGGTTTATTTTAACTATATCCCCAAGAGCCAGAGTCCGATAGCCGTCTAAATAAAGCCAGCACCCAGTCATTGAAGCCTCTGAAGTGAACAGACTTTCTAATTATTGTCATTTTTTCAGGCAAAAAAAACCCATATATAATTCTTACAATCCCGTTTTTTTTTTATAATATTGAACCAGATGCCTGTAAACCCCATCAGTTTATAAATTTCTCTGGATAATTAACTGAAATACTAATTAATTTGACGGTAGTAGGTATACCACTGTCTGTTATATTAAAAGAATGATTTAATACAACTATATGTAGAGTGCGGCGCATGGAAGGCCACAACCCATTTGCAGTGCCCGACCGTTGTACCGCAAATACAAAACGAAATGTCGTGAACGAAACGAGCCAGCAGAGAATAAAAAATTGCATCTGACATCCCCGGCCAGATGCCCACACCCCCTCCTTCCTCTCTCTCTTTATCTCCAGATCTGCCCTCCGCGCTGTCCGTCCTCAATGACACTACAACAGGAGCCTCGGTAATCCAAGTCACCTAACGCATCCCCTTAGTAGTATCAATGAAAACAGGATATAACAAAGTGCAAAAGAAAACAAAAGAAAGAAAGAAAGAAAAAAAGGAACAGACCTCCAAGGAGCCGGGTTAGAGATACACGTCACACAGCTGGCCAGAAAGCCCACCTTGTTGATCTGAGGACATGTCCATAACTAGCCGACCAAGTTGGGTTCATAAAGAAGACCGCATCTCGCTCAGCCTGTAGTCATACGAAATGCTCGTAGCTGTAGCAACACTTTTAAAAAAACAAAAAGCAGCAGCATCGCGCATGTAGGAATTCGCACCTACCATAAACCTCGGACGTCCCGTTGTCAATAAAAGAGGAAGAAGAAAAAGACAAAAAAACAAAGGATGGCGGTGGACAGGGCAGTTTTTGGGCTGGTGTGTAAGGTCGGGGTCACATGACCGCATTCAGAGTCTAACAAGGATAGGAGGCAACCCTCCAATCTTCCCTTTCAACTCTCGCAAGTATCGACAAACTCAGACCAACACAGCACTTCCAGCAAACTGCTCATCCTATCTAATTGCACTCGACCTGCTTCTTTTTTCAATTCATAAAGGGAAAAATAAAATTTAGTTATTAGCATCTACAATGTACTATGTCAAGAAAGCGATATACGGGCCCGACCCCGCTGAACAGAAACGCAAGGTAAAGGCACAAATCCGACGCAACCAACGCGAGCTCGATAAGCAGCTGACAGGACTACAAACAACCGAGCAAAAGACCAAGACAATGATCAAAGCAGCTGCAAAGCGCAACGATATGAAGTCAGCACGACTACTGGCGCGCGAGGTTTTCCGGGCCAAGAAGCAAAAGGAACGATTGCATCGGTCCAAAGCCCAGCTTAACTCGGTCGCACTGCAAGTTGATGAGGCGTTTGCGCTGCGCAAGATTGAGGGCACGATGAAGTCGTCAACTCTAATTATGAAGGAAGTTTCAAACCTGGTCAAACTGCCCGAATTGATGGGTACTATGAATGCACTGAGTCAGGAGCTAATGAAGGTAAGACCAACCCGTGTGGATAAGCAAGCACCACAGCGCTCACTTGTTCTGCTATTGCTATTTTCGTTTACACCGGTGCTAACATGAATCTCTTTTTTTTTTTTTTTTTCTTTTTTTTTTTTTTCCATTACAATTTCAACAGGCTGGAATTATAGAAGAAATGGTTTCAGACACGCTTGATACGCTTGATGAAACTGAAATGTTTGAAGATGAAGAGGCAGAGGGTGAAGTGGATGCCATTCTTAATGAAATTACGGGCAACAAGCTCAATACTGCAGACAAAGTGCCTTCGAATATGCTGCCGCCCACGCAGAAGGCGGCTCCGGTGGCGGCGGAAACCGCGCCCGAGGAAGAGGAGGACGAGGACGAGGAATTGCTAAACAGCATGCGCGAACGCCTCAAGGCCCTTCAGAGCTAATGCTAGTACTAGTACTACTACTAGTAGATTACCTTCTCTTGCCTCTTTTATTTGCTGGACTCCCCCGCGGAAATTACGTTCAGACAGAATGGATGTAGCCCGTTTGTTAGAAAAATCCCCTTGGGCTTGTTAATTTTTTTTTTATATTTATTTTTCTTTTTTTTTGGATCGATATAAATATTAGTGGGCGATTTTTGTGTGTTGTCTAATTTACCATTTAATCATCATTTTCGAACCCCACAGGCCCCCTGCAAGAATTGTGTAATTGGATCACAGGAAGAGTCCAAAAAAAAAAAAAACTTTGGTGTTTGTGGGAAAGAATATGATCACGGCCTATCTGACGCTATGTTTTTTTTTTTTTTTTTTAATTTTTTTTTGCACTTTAATGTTCTATCATTGTTGATAAACACAATCCCAAGTAATTAAGATGGTGTACAAGACAAAAAATTGTGTCAAATTGGTTCCCTCCCCAAAAAAAAAAAAAAAAAAAAATGAAAGAACCAAAAAAGAATTGCCTCCTACCGGAATTGAACCGGTGACCTTTGCATATCAAATATATTGTAATACAAGTGCAACGCTCTACCACTAAGCTAAAGAGGCGCTATTGTTGTAAAACAATTTTAGTCCATGTAGGGGATGAAAATATATATCAATATAAAGCTAATTATGAAAAATTTGGAGGTATTAAATATAAACTTGTTAGTTGCCAAATGGCAAAGCAAATAAAGTTTTAGAGCCAAGTAAAATTGTCTAGTACTGTTTTGGACGGGTAGTTGACTTTTAGAGACCACATAGCCAGGGCGACCTGCGAGCGCCACACTGCTTCAGGAGAAGAATGGCAATACTGAGTGTCAATCTCTGGTATTGATCTACTAGATGTTATGTATCTCAGGTTTCCCTTAGCACATGGAGATATTCATGGAAAATTCGGCGCCATCGAATGTTTGAACTCATAACGCGCGCTGACACCGCTACCTCGACAGTCTCATAGAGACAAACGCCTTTGAAACCATATGTCTTTTTTGTATGTCATTTTGTTTTGTAATTTTGTATGTAACTATTTGATGTAAGGACAATAAACTGATTATCTATCTATCTAGCACAACTTGGTAGAATAGAGAAAAGAATGACCAGACTGGCAGCTAGAGGCCTTTTGCTGGCTTGCACTGAGACTATTTCCGAACGTGGAATCAAAGACATGGAACTTTGCAATCCAAGGGAAAAGACAAGGAAAGGTTTAGAAGTATTCGGAATAACTGCTGGAAGGGAGCATTTGGCGTCGCCAAAACTGCTTCTTTTGAAATATTTGAAATGGAAACAGCAGTCCCCTATTATGAACTTGAGACTCAAGTATCTGGCTACGATAATGTCAATGAGACTCGGATATGGCTTAAGCAGAGAGAGACAGGTGAGGGCACTTTCCATTACTACTAAAAAAAAAAACTCTCCAACTGACCACAGCATGTTTTTGAAATATATGTTTTCTTTGTATGTCGGTGTTTTATAATTTTGTTTGTAATTATTTAATATAAGGACAATAAACTAATTATCTATCTATAGACCAAAACATGAGATACCTTAGAGACTCAAAGATTTTGATGAAGTCTGGGCTACTGTCAGGTATAGTACACTAACTTAATGACCGTGATAAAAGAGGGTACGATTAAAATTGGTAGAGGTTCTAGTTAGAAACTAAAAAAAAGTAAAACGAACAATGGTTGAAGCTTTGCATGAAAAGTGAACGCATCAGTACAGTATAGATAAAAGAGGTAGATATGAATGGTGTCATAGTATAGCATCCGATACTCAATTCAGTTTAAAGGATCTCAAGTTATTTACCAAACAAATCTTGCGGAACAAGCCGTGTCACATCTTGAGTATCATCATACAGCTTCGGACGGGTCATGGCTCAAGCAAAGAGTGGTTTGAGAGATTCTATATACTCCAGGACTTACAAGAATGTGAATGAAGCAACTCCAAACTATTATTCTTTGTATATTATTTTATATATAACCATTTGATGTAAGGACAATAAAATGATTATCTATCTATGTATCTAACCCCAAACTATGCGGCACATCCTCATTGAGTGCGTTTGGCACAACTTGAGAAAAGGCAAGAGGTTAAAACGGATATCCCCAGCACTAAACCTTTTGGTGCTGCTCAACACAAAACAGGGGACTCCAAGCAGTTGTCAGCTTCTGGAGATTTAGGGACGAGCATATCTCAAACTTATCACATCGCTGCTAAGAATATTCAAGAATACTTGCTGAAACCATTGTGGATTGCCACTTTCCGATGCTTTTTTCTTTTCTTTGGTTAAATTTGAAATGGCTTTCTTTTATTGGGAGGTCTCTAACTTATCGATGGTTTAGGATGAAAATTCTCAGAAAATCCGGGCCGTGGCGAGGTGTTATGACATTTAAGGTGAAATTTGAATAAAGGGAATTTCTGAAGAACATCAGTCGTTATGGTGGTCTAATTTCTTTTTATTTCTTATTATTTCTTATTATTTCTTATTATTTCTATTTTCATTTCTATTTTTATTTCATTTTTATTTTTGATTTTGCTCGTGGCTTGTTTCATTAGATTGCTTTTTTTTTTACTGTAAGCCAACTGGCCGGGGAAAAAATAACAATATTATTATAAGCAGCATAAAACCTCTTAACTTATAATACGCACGGACACCGATATTTTGTTAATCTCACAAATATGCTTGACATGAACTATAAGTAATAATAATAATAAAAAAGATACTATAAAAAGGCCCAGAATATTGTCTTGCCGCACGTAGACCCTCACTATTATCAACCAGGAATCTGAAAACCAAGTTCTTTTAAACTTGTCTCAAAGCAGCTACACTCTATATGGATCTAGATCATACACCTTGAAAGAAGATGCGTTCAAGTTGTCTCTGTTAAGTCAACACATCACAATAGTGACTTATTACCTTGACGATAGAAGTTTTTATTATGCGTTTTGGGATAAGTTTCTAGAACCACCACAACTTGGTACAAAAAACCCGGCTTATTCAGGGAGATATGGTGAAGGGGCAGTCATCATAGATAGACAGATAGATAATTAGCTTATTGTCCTGGCACCAAGTAGTTACAAACAAAATGATAAATTAATATAAAGTACAAAGAAGATATGAATATCAAAACACTTGTCTCTATGAGACTGGCAAGATGGTGATGCCAGAACTTACTATAAGTTTACACGTTTGGTGCCGCCAAATTCTTCATGGATAATTCCATGTGCTAAGGAGTGAAATCATCATTTGAAAAAAGTTTTTAGTATATTGAGGTATAAGCACATGGATACTTTCATGGAAAATTCAGCGCCATCGAACGTCTGAACTTATTACGCGCGCTGACACCGCTACTTTGCCAGTCTCATAGAGACAAATGTTTTTGAAATTTCATGTCTTCTTTGTATATCGTTTTGTTTTGTAATTTTATGTAACTATTTGATGTAAGGACAATAAACTGATTATCTATCTATCTATCTA